TAGGGTCTTGCTAAGTTGCCTGAGATGGTCTCAATTCGAGACCCTCCTGCCTCAGCCTCCCAGATGGCTGGAATGGCTCACAGGGGTGTGCTTCTCTGCCGACAGGAACTGCTTTTTCTGCTTCCTCTCTGAAGCTGGGGAGCCGAGTCCCCCAGAACCCCCAGGCGGCCGCAGAGGCAGGCACAGAGCCCTGGCGTTCTCTTCAGCCGGCCGCGGATCCACGCGGGGCGCTGCGCCGGGGCCTCTCCCTGGGAAGTCCGGATGGGGGGTATTTTATTATTTCATTTTGTTTTATGTATTTTATTTGCTTTTATTTTCCACTGCTAAGGGCTAAACCCAGAGCCTTCATGCTGAGATGCATCCAAGACTTTTTTTCGTTTTTTTAAATTTTTGGACAGGGTTCCACTGTCACCAAAGGTCCCAGGCTGCTCTCCAGCTTGCAATCCTTCTGCCTCAGCCTCCCAGAGTGCTGGGATGACCAGCGTGTGCCACCACGCCCGCCTACGGACGAGCAGCTCCGCGTTGTGTCCCGGCCTGAGTGCAGAGTCCCCTTTCCTCTGGCGGGGTGCGGAAAAGGCACAGCGCAGGCCCAGCACTCCGGGATCAGCCCACTCCCGACGCCGGGGTACACCCTGGAGAGGCGAGGACTTGGCTCACCCCTCGCGGGGCGGTCATCGGCCCCAGGTGCACAAGCGAGAGTCAGCGGCCGGTGGGGTTTCTTCCTCCAGACCGGGGGGGGGGGTCACACCCCGGCCCAGCCCGGTCTCTCTTCTGGGTCAGAGGCTCCCAGGGCCCCGCCTTCAGACTCTAGGACGGAAGCACAAGGGCTCCCAGAGATTGAGGGTGTGGGGAGAGGGAGGAGAGAATTAAAAGAATGGGTTCGGGTTCCGCCCCCCCCCACAAGGAATGTGATCATTATGCACAGGGTATTGGTAACTTTTTATTTTTTATTGTTTTGGTGTCTTTGAAACAGGTTCTATGTAGTCCATCCTGGCCTTGAACTCCCTATGGAGCCTAGGGCTGGCCTAGAGTTCATAGAGACCCTCCTGCCTCAGCCTCCCAAGTGCTGAAATCACAGCCTAATGCGCCACGCCCTACAAAAGTTTTTCCTTAATGCCCAGAAGACCATGACACGTCTTCCTTTCTCCTGCTCCCCAGGAAGTTTTGGCAGCTGCACCTTGCCTGGCGGGGGGCTCCCATGAACGTGCTGGCTGCGGGGTGCTGTCCAGCCTGAGGTGGTGGACTCTAAGGCCAACGCCTCGGTGTCACACGTGCTGTGTCCCTCTGGAGACCAAGCGTGGGAGGCCCGAGCGCTGATCCCGAGGTGGGGGTGGGAGCCCCTGCGTGTCTGCCCATAGCCCGCCCTCCTCATTTGCATCCATCCATTCTCTCTTTTCATCCATTCCTGATGATTGAACACAGGCCCTTCCCACGGAGCCACATCCCCAGCCCTTTTGTGATTTTTACTTTGAGACAGGGTCTCGCTAAATTGCTAAGTTGCCCAGGCTGGACTCAAACTTGGGACCCTCCTGCCTCAGCCTCCCAGAGGGCCGGGATGACAGGTGTGCTCTACCTCGATGTCTGGCTGCGCATTCTTCCTATTTCTTTTATTTTGTTTTGGAGACAGGGTCTCACTATGTAGTTGAGACTGACCTGGAACTCATTATGTAGTAGGCTGGTCTCAAACTCACAGCGATGCTCCTGCCTCAGCCTCCCAAGTGCTGAGATTACAGGCCTGCGCCACCACTCCCGGCTCTTCGTATTTCTTACATTCCAGCTGACAGGGGAGTGCATGGTGGAGAAAGTTCGTCCCTGGATGGCCCCAGTGCATGTCTCTAGGGCCCATGTGTAACACACACACACACACACACCCGGTTGTCTCCCAGCCCTCCAAGTGCAGGGCTGCTAGGGGCCATCCCTACCCCAAGGCCTCTCCAGGCCTGGCTCTGCTTTCACCCTGTTGCCATGGCGACCCCACTACAGAGGGCAGGGCCGCTCCACCCCTGGTATCTGGGGAGAAACAGGAAGTGGGTGGAGTGGGGAGGCTGCAGCAGGACAGCAAGGGAGGTTCCTGCTTCCCAAGGCTCCCGTGTCCGTGTCGGCCCTTGGGGGCCACACAGCCAGGCAGCTGTCACTGCAGGGCGGAGCCAGCTTGCCTAAATCCTCCTGACTCAGCCACCACCCCTCCTGGGAGACTCTGGTCACCTGCTGTCCTGGGTGACCCGTCGCTTCTTGTGACCTGAGTCCCAGGTTTTCTGGTCTTGATGTGAGGCGCTGTCGAGGGCCTGATGAGACTGCAGCCCACTCGGCTGCGGTTAGAGGAGAGGAGTTCCGGCAGGTGTCAAGTGGGAGGAGTCCCACACTGGGGGAGGCTGAGGCGGGACCATACTGAGTTCAAGGCCAACCAACCAGGGGCCAATTTAGTGAGACCGTCTCAAGAGGAAAAATAAAAATAAAAAAGGCTGGGGATGGCACTCATTGCAAAGGTTATGGGCTCAAGGGTGGGGTTCGTGGTTACTTAACCTCCTTTTCATTCTGACTTCCTCAGCTCCTGCCTCACCCTGGCTCCTGGCCCCAGCCCAGCTCCAGGTGAGCCACCCGGCAGCAGCAGCAGAGGCTTCTGCCAGGTCCTGTGTGCACCGCAACCTGAGGGGCTCCGGCCAGGCCCAGGCCTGAGGAGTGCTGGTGGCACCGCTGAGCGAGGTTTGTGACCCTGGGCTGAGCCCTGGGCACATCCCAGCTGCGCTGACACAGAAACCACACAGCAGAGAGCAGCAGGCTCTGCTGGAGAACCAGCGTCGTCACCTGCGCCGGGCCGGCTTACACTAAGCGAGCCCCAGTCAGTTCACTGGGCCCAGCTGTCGGCCTGGTGCCGCCCGGCCTGGCCCGGCCCAGACGCAGGGGACACGCCGGCCTCTGCGTCCGATCACTCGGGGCTCCTGTCCCTGGGACAGGATGGTCACAGGGTCGCTCTGCAGGCTGCGTGGCTGTTTGAATCACTCTGCCTGTGGCTGGTACGCAATACCCAACCCCTGCAGCTCCAGCAGGGGACAGGGACCCACCTAGGGCTCTGTCCTCGGTCACTGCTCTAAGGCAGGGGCCTGGCGGAGCAAGGCTGCTTCCCTCAGGGAGGCTGCGAGGGGAGGTGCGGTCCACACTGAAACCCAGGGACTGCCTCTTCCGGGCGGGCCCCCCAACCCCAACCTGCGGCCATTCGCGAAGCTGTCCGCAACCGGACAACACGCTCCCGTCAGCGTGGCGGGGACTTGACTCCCAGCTCTGAGCCAGGCTTTGCCTTCGGTGCCTCCTGTCTCATGAGCACGCCTGGCAACTGCAAGACGCCGTCCTCCTTGAACGGCGCAACCGATTCTGGTCACTCCCTTGTTCAACTGCGTTACTCTCCCTGTGCCTTCACTCCCCACCACCCAGCTGAATCTTATGTTTCTGTAAACTGCAGGTAACTGGGTCACATGTTCCCCTCTGCCAGTCTCTTTTACTGGTGTAGCTTGACCATTTACACTTAATGTAATTATTGCCACATTAGAGCAAAAGTGTGCCATTTTATTTTGTTTGGTGTGTCTCAAGTGTTTTTCTACTTCTATCGTCTTGCTTTTCTGTGGGTTGCTAGAACTTTTAGAGATCTCGTCTTTGTATAGATTTTGTAGCAGCTCATCTAGCTAACACGATATGCAGTTTATCACATCTTCTGGTATCAACAGTTTTCTTGTTTTAAAACTGGGTCTCACTCTGCAGCCCAGGCTGGCCTTGAGCTCACAGGGATCCTCCTGCCTGAGCCTCCCAAGTGCTGAGATTATGTGTGCCCCATCACACCTGGCTTTGTGTCAACACTTCACAAGTGACTTTATAACCAGTGCCCACCCCAACATAACTCAGCACTGACTCTGGCTGCCTCTGAGACTTTGCCTTTAGTTTTCAGCTTGTCTTTCTTGGGTTTTTTTGCTCCTGTTAGTTTATTAAGCTTCTCAAATCTAAAGATCTGTATCTTTTGTCAAATTCAGGGAGCGTTTAAACGTCCTTGACTGCTTTTCAGCGGCTCTCTTCCCCCCCTCCTGCTACTCCAGTGATGGAAATGCTGTCTTTTGTTACTGTCCCATGGGTCCCTGTGACTGCTCATTTTTCAAGTTGATTTTCAGCACAGTGTGGTGGTGCACACCTGTGATGCCAACACTGGGAAGCTGAGGCAGGAGGATTACCATGCTTGAGCCCAGCCTGAGAAAATCAGCCAGACCCTGTCTCAAAATAAAAAAAACAAAAAAGGGCTGGGCATGTAGCTGTGACAGCTCTGAGTTTGAACCCCCGGGCCAAAAAAAAACCAAAAAAAAAAAGTTGATTTTTCTGTGTGGCTTCTCCCGGAATGTAACTTTTCAAAGGTCTCAGATCAGTGATCTTAAAAAAAAAAATTGTATATATCATACATCCCCCAGTACTGGAGATTGGACCAGGGCCTTCACACCGAGCTATGGCCCCGGTGCTTTTCTTGCACACCACCTGTGCAAACGCACGCCCCCAAGGCACACAGCAGACACACACGCCTGCCTCCGGAGGCTTACCAAGCTCGTAATTTTTATTATACTCTGGGTAAAGATGATACTTAAGAGCAGAGAACACGACTATACAAGGCTCGGGGCACATCGTGTGTACTGGAGATACTCTTCACGCTGTGAGCGGGCGGCGGGGCTCGGGGTGGGAGCCGGCTCCCCGGACCCCAGGCTCCTGGCCGCGAGTTGCTATGACGATTGTGGTCTTCGCAGGCTCCACCCGCCCCAGCTGGCACAGGCCGCACCCCGGGTGGGGGGGCTGCGAGGCAACTGCGCTTCCTGGATCGGAGGCCTGGCCTCCGGGCCTCGGACAAGCAGAGCGGGAAGGCACCAGGCTTCGCTTTCGGCCGCCCGATGGGCCGCTCCACTCCTTGTCCTGTCCTCACCGGGCCTGGGCAGGGGTCCGGTTCCCCACCCTCCCCAGCGGGAAGACATCAGGCCGCACCCCGGGTGGGGGGGCTGCGAGGCAACTGCGCTTCCTGGATCGGAGGCCTGGCCTCCGGGCCTCGGACAAGCAGAGCGGGAAGGCACCAGGCTTCGCTTTCGGCCGCCCGATGGGCCGCTCCACTCCTTGTCCTGTCCTCACCGGGCCTGGGCAGGGGTCCGGTTCCCCACCCTCCCCAGCGGGAAGACATGGGCAGTGAGCTGGGCGGGGCAAGGCACCCTGCACTTTGGGGACCCCACAGACCACCGCAGGGCTACTGCAGCATTCAACACTGGGACAGTACAGCTATAGCAAAGGTTATAAATAATTTGGCATTATGTAAAATATAAATTACATAGAGAGGGCAGTTTTTGCTTCCATCTTCTCCTTTATCCTCTCAGGGTCCTCCTGGGTACTGCCCCAGCCTGGCTTGTGTAATGTGAGTGGGAGCACAGAACCATGACATGTGCAGAGGGAGCCTCTGCCATCCCATGCTCCTCCAGGACACAAAAAGGCTGCCACTGCCCCGGTCCTAACAGCCCACACCACTGTGCTCACGTTCATGTCATCACTGCATCCAGAGGGACCTGACCCGCACACACCTGTCAGTCAGGGCCCCCTTCCTGTGCCGTCCGTGCCACAGGGCAGGCGAGTGGCTGGCCGGGTGATGCAGGCTGGGGCTGCTTCTGCAGAAGAAGGCACCATGCTCCTCAGCGCCCTCCGGTGCAAGTGTGCAGGGCTGCTCTGTCCCTCCCCTGGGGGATCAGGGCTGGGCCCGGTGCACAGCCTGGTGCGCCCAGCCGCAGGGACACTGCCCACCAGGAGTGGGCCTCAGCCCCTCCTGGGGGAGCCGATCATGACCTTGGACACGAAATTCACAATGGCGCTGGCGGGCTGCTCGGGGTCATGCTCGGCGAACAGGTGGCACACGTTGTCGGTGGCGCTGCCCTGCTTCCGGGCCACAAACCCGAAGACCCTGTGGGGAAAGCACGGCTCAGGGCCCCAGCCAGGGACCTGGAACTCAGACGCAGAGGCTGGCACCCCAGACACCACCCAGGCTTCTGAGGCGACAGACAGACGCAGGGAGGGGACCTAAGCCCACGAGTGCTTCAGCCCAGCCAGGGTGCCCAGCAGTGTGCAGGCAGAAAGCAGTTGAAAAGGACAGTGCATCCCTGCGTGGTGGCACACGCCTGTAATTCTAGCATTCTGGGAGGCTGAGGCAGGAGGATCCCAAGTTTGAGTGCAGCTTAGGCAACCTATTATTTATTTATAGATAGGGTCTTACTTTGTAGTCCATGCAGGCCCTGAACTCATGGAGAGCCTCCTGCCTTGGCCTCCCAAATGCTGGGATTACAGGCGTGCACTACCCATCATACCCGGCAATTTAGGCAATTTAGAGAAACTCTGTCTTAAGGTTTTAACAAAATGTTCGGGACTGGAGGGTTGGGTGTATGTAGGGCACTGTGAAGGCCCTGGGTTCAGTCCCAGTGCTACAAAACCCATCAATCAATAGCAACAGAACACATCTCATTCTTTTTTTAAGAACCGAAGCCAGGGCCTCCACAGGCTTTTCTGAGTCCTCAGCTCCACACAGTACCAGACATTCTCCACAGCTCAAGCTTTGGCTGAGGTCTTGATTCTCTTTCTTAGGAAAATGAGGCCTTTTTGTTCTAGCTCAGCTGCTTCTACACCACAGAAGGCTCCAGCCAGCGTCTCCAAGTAACCGGAGGGAGACGCACACTGCACTCCAAGCAGACCAGCACCTGCCCAGCTCCCAACTAAGGCGGGGGCCGAGTGGGGCCCAGAGGGGGCTGTGAGCTCGTGGGGCATCAGGACTTGGACGCTTCTCAAAAACAAGGGAATGGGCCGGTGATTTAGCTCAGTGGTGCCACTGCCTGCCTCACAAATGCGAGGTCCTGAGTTTGATCCTCGGTACCAAAAATACATTAAAACAAAAACAACAAAGCTGGGCATAGTGGTATACGATCCCCGGTACCAAAAATACATTAAAAAAAAAACAAAACAAAACAAAGCTGGGCATGGCGGTGTACGCCTGTAATCCCAGCACTCGGGAGGCTGAGGCAGGAGGATCACTGTGAGTTTGAGACCAGTCTGGGCTATATAGTGAGTTCCAGGTCAGTCTCAACTATAGTGAGACCCTGTCTCAAAACAAAAAACAAGCAAACAACCCACTGACAGACCGAGTCGGTTCTGCAGGGATCCTCCCTGAAACGTGAGCAGAATCCCACTTCAGACTAAGATTATATGTAGAGTTCAAGGGGCACTGGCCACTTACCGGCAGGAGGGGCCGTCTTTGATCCACCTTAGGGATTAAAGAGAAAAGAGTTAATTCTGCAAATCAAGAGTCCCACGCAAATGCTCAGGGCAAGTGTGGATTTCTTACTTCCTGTCCTCAGGGTCCAAGGCACAGAAAATCACGCTGCTCACAGGGTAATGCCTCCGGAAGAAGAGCCTGCAGACACCAGGGAGAGCGGGTCACTGGGGTGTGGGCTGGGTGCCCTGGGCCAGACCCCGACCCCCGTGAAGCCTCACGGAGTAGAAAGAAAGCAGTCTGACCCCATCCTTAGAAAGGACATGAAGCAGACAGAACTGCTCTAGGAAATGAACTCTCAGCCCAGGGAAGGCGGCACAGGCTCAAGGAACCTAAAGACTTCGGCACCGAGGTGCAGGCCTGTAATCCCAACACTCTGGGAGGCCGAGGCAGGAGGATCGAAAGTTTGAGCCCCCTCCACCAGGGAAACTTAAGAGAAGATTTTTGTATCGAAATAAAAATTAAAAACAAAAAGGATTGGCAGGCCAGGGATTTAGCTCAGTGGTTCCACTTCTTGCCTGGCAAGTGTTAAGGTCCTGAGTTTGATCCCCGTACCAAAAAAAGGGGGAAGGGGGGCACTGGGGAATATAGCTCAGTGCAAAGACCTTGGTACTCAATCCCTGGTGCCAAAAAGGAAAAAACAAAAAACAAAAAACAAAAAAACAGAATGTTCCCTAAGGGCCTGGCGGGGCAGGAGAAGGGCAGGAAACAGGCCCAGAAGAGCCTCCTGGCTCGCACACCTCAAGCTGCAGTCCCTTCGCCACCCTGAAGGGGGCGCCCCCGGGACCCGCCTGCCCAGCAAGACAATGCTGGGTGACTTCTGCTGACCCGGCCACACTCACTTCCTCTGATTGTCTGTCAGCGTGATGCCCTGGGCTGACACCTTGAAGTGGACCACGGTGGACAGAGGTGGCGGCTCCTGCAGCAGCGTCAGGCTCAGCGCCTTCTGCACCGCCTGGTGGCCAGTCAGCGATTCCATCTCCACGGAGTTCAGGTACCACACGTTGCAGGCTGAGGGCGGCAAGGGCGCGGTCAGTCTTGCCAACGGGGACACAGCTCTCTGCCTGTGCACACACTCCCTTGTCTGTCTGAGACAGCATCTCGCGATGTAGCCCAAGCTGGCCTCAAACTGGCAGAGATCCTCCTGTCTCGGCCTCCCAAGTACTCATCTGTGAAGTCTAAGATGTTCTGGGGGGGGGTCTGGAAACTTGCTGCTCTTCAATGAGCTCGCGGAGTAACCAGGATGGAGAAGGAAGACAGGGGTGGGGGGCTGCATTGCCGAGTTATCCAGAAAAAACCCTGATCTGGGAGGTGACACCGAGGATGGAATCCTGAACTTGCAATACACACAGGGTTTCACCTGGTTTTCTGACTTCCCTCCATAAACTCTGGTTGACTTTACTTTTACTATCACTAAACAGCTTGATATTGCCTCCTATAAGTACTGAAACAGAGCCAGGTGGGCGTGGTGGGGCACACCTGTAACCCCAGCACTCAGGAGGCTGTGGCGGGAGGATCCCTCCTGTTTGGGGCCAACCTGGGCTACTTAGCACAAGGTCAGCCTGAACTACACAATAAGGGCCTGTTTCAGAAAACAAAACAGAACAGTCTCAAAAAGCTGGAAGTAACCTGGAGGCCCCACTTCTGGGGAGTCTCCGAAGTTCCCACAACCACGGGGAGAAGCGGCCTGCACTGGGTGACGTCCCCACACATACAGGTGGCAGTGGAGAGATCACTCGAGAGGAGGGAAGGGTGAACTGCGTCCCCTCAGCAGGACCCAAGCAACCAGCAGGTGGCAATCCGGAAAATGACTCAGCACGAGGTGAGCAGGGAACTGGACAGAGTGGAGGCTGTCGGTGCTGGACGATGAAAAGCTCGCATACCTCTGCCTGCCCCTGCCTGCCCAGCAGGAAGGAAACGCACAGCAGCTCTCCAGGGGACCCCGAGAGGCACAATGGGGGTGGGCATCCCAAGGGACCACAAGCTGCTGCACCCCCACTTTGCAGGGCCCCTCAAGGCTTCTGTCAGGTCTCCCGGGCCAGCGGGATGCTGGTGGGTGGGGGCTCTTTCCCAGCACAGGACTCTCAGCTGCCCCTCCGAGCCTGGCCAGGACCGCCCGGTGCCACCACAGCTGCTCTGTGGGCCCTGAAGAGGGAGATGTGCATGCCCAGCCCACGGCTACCCTGGGAAAGCAGCGTCTTGGGCCACATCCATGAATCCCTCCTCGGGCACCAGCCCAGCATTCGGGAAAAGAACAAAATCCTCCGAGCCTGGCTTGGTACTGGAAAATCAGAGGCAGCCCAGGCAGATGGCTGTAAAGACCTGAAGTCTCTGAGAGACACGGCCTGCGGAGTGTTTGTAAAAAGCACAGAACTCATTATGCAAAGCATACACAGGGGACATAAAACATTGGCGTGTGTGCAGGACCCCAAGTCCCATGGGCAGCAGTGGTTCAGGGTAATCGCTCAAAGACAACATCATTTTTCTTTTCTGTTTCCCTTTTTTAAAATTACAAAGCACATGCAACTTTTGTCAAGAAACCGTACTCACAGAAGGCTAAGATTAAAAACACAACTGTGATATTTACAAGAAACGGAGACTTCTGGGCAAAGCCCTTTCTTTCCGGATTACCCTACATTCCTCCGCCGAGACGAGGAACAATTAAGAAGGGAGGGCCTAAGCACAAGCAGAAATTGTTTTAGAGACCAGAACAAAATCATAAAAGCCTCTGTATCCCACAAAAGGGACTGAGCAGCACACAATTAGGCGTTTATTCCCAGCTCTGTGAGCTTCTGGCTCTGTTATTTCTGAGTCTCAAAATCTGCACCAGGCACGACGCTGCACACGGTGATTCCCTGGGCCTCCGAGTGTCCAGGAGCCTAGGATCTGAGTGAATCGGGCCACAGATGAAATTCCGTTTAGGAACCGAAGCCCACTTTTGGTAATCGGCAATCGGCATAGCTCTGTACCTGGACCCAAGCGCACCCTTGCTCCCGTTTTACACAACCACAGCTCACGCCCCGGACAGGCACGGGGAGCCCGGCTCCTCACCCGCCACCGCCGCCCTGGGTTCTTGTGTCCTTCATGGACACAGAGGCCTTGAAGGTCAAAGCAATTACAACGCACACTTCCTACCCGAGTGACCACTTACCTAAGACTACACATAGGTTCTGAACAAAGTCTGAGATCTGAGGAGCCTCACTTACTTTAAAAACGAAAAGTAAAATGTTTAAACTGGGTGTGGGGGTGCAATGCCAGCCCTCTGGAAGGCTGAGGCAGGAGGATTGCCAGGTATGAGCCCAGCCTGGGCAACCCGGCAACTTAGTGAAAAGGGCTGGGGATGTGGCTCACTGCCAAGGCCCTGGGTTCAATCCCCAGTACTGAAAAAAAATAAAAATAAAAGCAAGACTTAATCATGCACCATTTTAAGAAGAGGAAAAAGGTCCCTGACAACGAAGCAGGAGAGAGAAAGCTTTCATCTCGGAAACCAAGGCCACAGAGGTTCCTCATCATGACTGCTTTGCTTACTCACTCAGTAAGTCAACACTCACTGGGTGAATGCTGAACAAGAAGGAGTGAGTGTGAGCCGCTGTGCTGAGCGTATTAAACTGAAACACAGCCGGCAGAGGGAGGTGGCTTCGGTGCCGCCCTGGGGCACTGGGGAGCATTGGGGGGGGAACAGCCGGCCCCAAGTTCAGGCTCCTGGAGACGACAGCAAGGCTGGGCCCCCCAGGGGCAGAGCAGCTACTCGGGGGTGCTGGGCGGGGGGCAGGGAGAACTGTGGGGGTGTCGCCGAGTCCTCCCCGCTTTCTAACCAACAGTGACAGACTCTAAAACTCACAAGCACAGCCACAAGCTCAGGCCGCCCCCGGGGAGCATGCCTACCGCACCCTCTGTCCTCCCACGTCGGCCACAGACGGCGACCCCTGCAGCAGGGACCAAAGAAAACGTCTCCCTATGCCATAGGCCTTCGTGGTTGATTACAGCTATAAAGTATTTCGCGGTACAAAGCGGGAGTATTTCTCATCCAAACCCCACCAGCACCAGCAATTCCCACTCCGACATTTCTGCCGGGAGAAATCTGCCTCGTAGGAGACGTTGTCCATGCAAAGAAATCAGGTTTCAAAACCGGAAAGACCCAGTGTCTCCTCCAGCCGTGTCCTGACAGTGCGTCTCCTGGACCCCTTCACAACCCTCTAAAACAGGGGCCGCTGGATCTGCACCCACCGCCTGGAAGAACTGGCACTTGCAAGGTTGCTGGGTACAACATTAATACACAGAAGGCGACTGTTTCCCTGGACACCCGGCACTTAACAAGGAGGACTTGAAATTAAAACACAGCATCACTTACATTAAGCATCCCCAAATTACGTCAGAAGTGTAACAAGATGCACATAAGGTCTGTGTGAGGAAAACCACAAACCTCTGATGAAAGACAGCAGAGAACTAAGTCAAGGGGCGTGTCACTGAAGTGCGTGGACAGGAAGAAGACGCGAAACTGTCTGGACGTCTGCTTTTCCCACTTCCCTCTACATGTTCAGGGCAATCCTAGTCAAAATCTGAGCAAATTTTGTTTTGTTTTGAGACAAAAGTTTCACTATGTAGTCCAGGGTGGCCTTGAGCTCACTAAGCAGCCCAGGCTGGCCTCCAACTCTGTGATCCTCCTGCCTCGGCCTCCTGGAAACTGGAATTACAGGTGTGCACCAGCACCCATGGCTCAAAGCTTAGCAGGTTATTTGACAGATACTGACAAACTGATTCTAAACTGTATATGGAAAAGCAGAAGACCCAACATGATTCTGAAAACAGCTGCAGAGGAGACACAACCACCAACCATAAAGTTACAGTAAAAAGACAGTGATACCTAAGAAAACAAAACAAAACAAATATCAACGGAACAAAGTATAGAGCCCCGAAATTGACTCACATTAACACCCAGACCTAAAATCCTTGAGAAAAACAAACCACTAGAGGCTTCTTACATGTAAAACATAAAGCTGTTAAAGTCCTTGCAGAAAACAAAAATGAAAACCTGGATGAGCTGGGGTCTGGTGATGACATTTCAGGCGAGACACCGAAACTGGGTTTTATTAAAATTAAAAAATTTCTGCTCTTCAAGAGACACCGTCAAAGAATGAAAAGATTAGCCATAGGCCAGGAGGCGATCGTGGCAAAACACCAATCAGGTAAAAGACGGTTATCCACATATGCAGTGGAGTTCAAAATCAACAAGAAAACTACCGGACAAAAGGACGGGAGGAGCGCCATTGCACAGCAGAAGGAAGAGAGCCACCCCCACGGCAGGGGCGCAGGGAGAACAGAAACAGGGCTCACCCAAGAGGGACCAGGGGCCGCCAGCTGGTGGGCAGCAGCCGCTTCGCTTCGGAAGAAGCCAGTTTTGTGGTTTCTTACACAACCAAGCCTGCTCCTGCCACCCAATCCCACCGTCAGGCTGCGCCGAGCCCGCCCACAGGACCGGGAACTGTCTGCAGAAAGCCTAACTCCCACAGGTGAGTTGCAGCCCCGAAGCCCTCCTGTCAAGCCCTCCTGTCGGTGCATGGATAAATAAACCTAGACTGTGGAATGCGATCCTGCGCTCAAAACAAACGAGCCATCAAAGCTGCGGTGCGGTCGGCTGGCGTCAGGTGGCTCACACTATACAAACGCCCCGCCAGGGCCCGCTGTGTCCCCAAGGACGTCTCCTGACCGCCCTCTCTCTGTCTTGCTGTACGTGTCACCACTCTCAAGAGCAGTCTATTAATAAAACGCCCCACACTCGGGGCCCGGTCTTCTGAGCGTGGGCACCGGGCCACTGTGGGTCCGCACGCTGACTCACGCCGGGCAGTGCCTGAGTGGCCAGGCGCGTCACCACATCCTGCCTTGGACTTCACGTCCATCCCCGACTTTGGTCTTGTTCAAGTCAGACCGGCATCTGCAGCCAGAGACGGATGCCCCAGCCCTGGCACCGGCAACTGCACCCCACCCAACCCTGCAAGCGTCTGTAGAGGGCAACTTCCTTCCCAGCCCGAGGACGAGAAGGAAGCTGGGGGCCGGAAGTGCAGGAGGACATGGGGGCACCGAACCGCATCCTGTCCCGAACCCAGGCCGTGGAGACCAACCTGCACCCTGCTTCAGCAGCTCGGCAGCAGAGTTGGCAGCCGTGTGGGGAGAGGGCTCTGCCGTTTCTTCCAGCGGATCTGCAGGAAGGGATGAGAAAGCTCGGTGATGAATGCTGCTCCCAGCAAGGCCGGCAGTTTGAGGACAGAATTCCCAGACGCTGACATGCGGCTGGTCCTGCAGAGCTGAGATTTTTCTCTCGAGGACAATGACCCAGCCCACTGAGTCCGTCACACCCCAGAGTCAGGGATGGCTCAGCTCAACAAATGTCATTCTGATCCCTGAGTTCATTCACATGAACCGTGAAAACTGAAAAGGTAAATCCCAGCTAGCTGCGTTTTATTGAAAATCTTCCTAGGAAAAGCATCTGTGTATAACTGAGCCCGCGTAAGAAAGCCAGGACCAAGGACCAGTTCTTCGGTTACTCTGCAGCTGTTACCTTTAAACAGATTCTCGTTGTGGCTATCCCCAAACAGACATAATACCTGGGAAATGTTTCCCCGTCACCTCAGATCAACACGATCAACATTTTGCCTGTTTTGTAGAATCGTAAAAGCTACAGGGAAATGGCCTTGAGCACCATGTGTTTTTAAACTGCAGATCTCTGCTCTCCGCAGGCCACAGCGGGCAGCTGTCCAGGAGCGTCCGGCTGTGGCGGGGCCTGTGCCCCTCCGGGACTCAGCTCAACTCTTCCGCCTCCCCTGTCCAGAGTGCTCCAGGAGAAAGGGCCCCGTCAGAGCGCCTGACCCCACCCAGCCCGTACCTTTCTCCGGAATGAGCAGCTTGCAGGGCAAGGCCAGGGGCGTGATGGAGTGCTGGCACACCAAGGCCGTCAGGCTCCCTGTGGGACAGAAGCCAGTGAGCGGCACCCCACTGCCCCGCTGAAATGAGTCACTGCCACAGCTGAGTCCCTCACTCTCACTCAGTTACCCACGTGGCGGGCTGTGGGAGACACAGCCCAGAACCTCAGAGATGAGACAGGTCCTGTAAGACAGCTAAATAGGCTGGATGTGGGGGCCCACACCTCTCATCACCCGGCGCTCTGGGAGGCTGAGGCAGGAGGATTGCAAGTTTGAGTTCAGCATGGACTACTTAACAACTTAGCATGAGCTTGTCTCAAAACTAGAAAGACTGGGGATATAGCTCAGCCAGAAGGCTCTGGGTTCAATCGCTGGTAAAGCAGAAAGAAAAGACCGCCAAGGGGTAAGTGGTAGGAACCCCAGTGGGCTACTAGCACAGACAAGTCACTACCCGAGTTCAAAGAAGAAACCGGGCAAATTTGCAGGATCTAAAACCAGGGGGCCGAGATCAAGGCAACCCCACCTTGCACCACCCATGCCACCCATCTACAGGCACCTGCGAGGCCGGGACAGTGCCCCACTGACAGCCATGTCGCCTGTCACGGGCTGTGTGTGCCCTGCTTTGCAGAGTGAGCGCACATCTACTCTGTCCCAGACACAAGACCTCACAGCCAGGGACCTCAGACCTGAAACACAAGCTGACCACCTCGACAGCCAGGTCTCAGGTCTCAGGGTGGCTGCAGAGTGAACACAGGGACCCAGAATCGGTGGGGAGGGACTTGCCGAAGACTCACCAAAGTACGGTTCGTTGGAGCACCCTTTCAACCGGACGCCCTTCGGGGTGCACTCAATGAGGAAGTGCCGGACAAGCTCATTGGACAGATCTCCTGGTGAGGTACGGAGCAACACAAAGGAAGAAAAACCAGTTTGTAAAAGGAGAGCAAACACCAGGCATGGCGGCGCACACCTGTAATCCCAGCACTCGGGGGGCTGAGGCTGAGGAGGATCACTGCCGGTTCTAGGCCAGCCAGAACTGCATAGTGAGACCCGGTTTCCAGAAACAAACAAAAGGCATCAAATGGCCTTCAGGCCATGTACATAAAGTGTGTATGAGATCTGACCAAGTTCCGAGTTTAGACCTGGGTCCCACCCCCAAGAGATGTCATCGTTCACCTACAGAGAATCCAAACTTTGAAAGAGAAAACCCAAACTCTGCAACGCCTGTGGTCCCGAGCACCCTGAACAAGGGATACTCGATCTGTAGCAGTTCCCAGATGAGGTTTGTCAACAGGGACAGACGTGAACAAAATAAGTCTCAGCTGCTGCAGGGACCACCGGATCCCATGAGGCTGGCGGCGGAAGTGGGGGACGCTTCCTTCCTTCCGGGAAGGCTCTGCCACCCATGGGAAGTGGGAGATGGTCCCGGCCAGGCTTCCTGGAGAGCAGTGCCCGACACGACAGCTGGCCCATCTCAGGGGGCCCGAGCTGGTACGGAGACTCGCTCACCGAGAGTCACTAGCTTGGCAAACCCTTCCCTCCAGATTCCTCCGTGGGCCATGTGAAATCCAGGGGCTGGGTGTGATTCCCCCAGGACACGCCCAGGGTGGGGCTTCCTGACACCTGCTACTCTCGCATGCTCTACTTGTCACCCGCATCTCCGGATGGAGCCCAGCATCTTGCCAGAAGCAGGATGCTCGCTGGGAGAGCACGAGTGTCACTCGCCACATCTGTACTTCCCAACAAGTCAGTGCGTGAAGAAGAAAGATTCTTCTGGCCTCACTTTAACACACTCGGCGGGAATCGAGGGGCCCAGCAGAAGAAGGCTGAGCGGCTGCCCCCGTGCCAGCCCCACCGCGTCCCCCTATCTGCTCTCAATCCCAATGTTCCTGTCCTGAGACGTCTCCTGCTGCAATCCATTTGCAGATGAAGCTGGGTGTCCTCAGAACTCCGACGTTCACCGGCAGGGCGTTGGGAAGGGAAAGGGATCGTGGGGCGCTGCACCCATCGGTGGATTCATCCATGGTTGAGTTCAAGGCTGAATGTGCTGTTAGGAGATGTGACATTGCTATACCTTGTGTCTTGATGTCCCCTCAAAGCCTCATGCGGTCATAGGCAGGGCTTTTTCAGAGGTGGCTGGATCTAGAGAGTGTGATGCTGGGATCGATGCACGGAGCAATGTCAGGATCAAGGGCGCCAGGATGGGGGATGCGAGTGCTACTCACCCTAAGTGGTCTGGGTAACATACAAGGGCAGGAAGACACTGTGAAGGTCCCTTGTTGCTTCTGCTACCTTCTGGCTGCCACGGACTCTTTCTCCTCTGCAAGGCCTGCCTGCCACGCCACGCTGCCTTGGAGCCAGTCAATTACAGACTGAAACCTCTACCAACTGTGAGCTGAATAAACCTTTCCTCCTTCAGTTTGGATGTCAGGTTATTTTGTCTCAGCGATGAGGAAAGTCACTAAGACAGGCAAGGTTGGAGGTGGTCCCTGGGATGTGACCTGGAAGGGTCTGTCTTTGTCCCCAGCTCCTCTGCTCCTTCCGCTTCCCAGCCGGCATCGGGGGAGCAGCTCTCCTCCACCAGGCCCTTCTGCCGTGAGGTTTTTGTCTTTCAGCCCACTGACCATGCAATGAACCCACCGAATACAGGAGCCCAATGAACCTCTCCTCCCTTAAATTGCAAGTGTTGGGTATTTTGTTCCAACAACAAGAAAGTAATAAGACAGCTAGTTTTCAATCTAGAATTTGGGGTGCTCTAGGAGCCCCCTTTTCAATCTCTGGTATTGCACAAACCTCTGCCCCCCTCCCTTGAAGAACTCTCTGTATCCACGGGTCTGGGCTCTGCTGATGCAGCCCTGGGGCCCTCCCACCCCACTCCACCTCTTCCTCTCACACCACTTCTCCTGCCAAGAGAAGACCACTGCATTGCCTGGGGACGCCTCGGCCAGGCCTGGGGCTGGCCCTCTTGCCACCAAACCTTAGGACTCCAGGTCCACTTTCTCCAGGAAGCTTCAAGCAGGGGTTTCAACCTCTCTGGTAGACATGGGACGTGGGGATCCAAGCAAGGGTCTCATATTTCTTTAAATACAGAGATTTCAAAATCTGCTTATTCTGATCTCGCCCCACCTGCTACTGTTTGGATCTAAAATATCCCCACAGGAACCCAAAGTGATGGTCAAGTCCTCAGCTTGGCTCGGGGAGCGGGTCACGGAACCTCAGGAGGTAGGGCCTAGTACAGCATCTTTCGGTCAAGGTAGGTGCACCCTCGAAGGGAAGAGCAGAACCCCAGCTCCTTTCTCTTCCTCTGTGCCTCACTTTGCGGCCAGGTGAACCCTTTGCTCTACCGCTCATTCCCACCATGTTGTGCAGGGACCGAACGCTCAGAAACCACAAGTCAAACCTCCCTTCTTCATAAGCTCACTAGCTCTGCTCTCTGGGTTCAATCTCCAGTACCGCAAAAAACAAAAACGAAAGAGTAGTGCATATAAAATGCCACTTTTGATGTAAGAAAAAGGGAGGATGCACACGTGTCTGCACTGGGGCACACAATCAATGCAGACACACAAATGTGTATTGCACACGGTTACTGAAAGGAGAAGAGTGGATAGCGAGGTGCCCCGGACTGAAAGCAGAAGAGAGGAACCCAAGGGGATTTCTTGTTTGTCTTTTTTACTTCTGCACAGTGCGATAATTGCCTATTATTTGTGAAAGTGAAGTTTGATCCTGCCAACTTGACTGGCTTCGGGATCTGCCCAGAGAACAGTTAGAGCAAGCCTTGGGGTGTGTCTGGCAGGTGTGACCATGGGTCTACATCTGTCCCTGGCTCCTTCCTCTCCAGTGCTGTTTCCATGCTGCGCTCTCCGGCTATGCCTTTCTGCCATGCTGTTCCTGCCTTAGAGCCAGCTGACCATGGACTGAATCTCCTAGAACCGTGAGCCACGTTAAACCTCTCCTCCTTTAAGGGGACAGGTGTCAGGCACTGTGTCTCAGCAACAGGAAAGCTGACCGATGCACTATTCAAAATTCAGAAAACAAATTCATAAATAACGTTCTCTCTTGAACAAGGTGAGTACTTAGGAAAACATTCCTCAGATAATAGATACTAAGAAGAAAACCCGTGAGGGTGCTGTAAGTCACCTACTGTGTTCTTTGCATCAACATAACCCCACAGACCCTCCGTGGGAGAGCTGAACAGAAGGACCCCGGCGACCTCACCTTTCTTGTTCAGCTGCAGGACAGAAGGAGGAGGGGTGGCAACCTTCATGGCCAGGCCATAGGCACCCCGGAAGGAGTGGCTGTCCCGTACAACAAAGGACCCGGGTTCTTTGTCTTTCAACATGGCGATGGCTGGAGGGAGAGCAGGAGAAGGTGGGAGTTACCATTACTGGAGACCTTACCAGGATTTCAATATGGCTAGTCCCAAATCCATGCTGAAATCCAGGATGGGATCAGGCATTCTGCACCGGGTTATTTTAAATCCAGGTCCGGACCCTCCAGAACATGGAGTCAAACTAAGCTCCTGCTCCTTTACACATCACACACCTCAGGGTTAGGGCGCCAAGTAAGAACGTGGAGGGAGCCCACCCTCTTCTCCCAGCCCCGTTTGATCCCAGGCGCTCACTGTGGGACACCCGCACTGCTACCCAGAGGCCCACTGTCCTGAAAGGGGCACAGGGTCCCCAGGGAGGGGTGGCCACCTTAGGGACGGGGCTGACGGGAGGCCTGCAGGTTACTGGGCGGAGCTAGAAGGAAGGGGCTCCTGGGTCCCACACGCTTGTTTGCTCCCAGCATAGCAGGCATCTCCACCAGGGGCCCAGAGCCCGGGCCAACCTTGATTCAGACTTGAACCTCTGGAACCACAAGCCAAAAATACATCTTTCTTATTTACAAGTAAACCTCCATAGTATCTCACGACAGCGAGGAAAGCTGACGGATGCTGAGGGTGACTGCTCCTGGTGCTGCGCACCTCCCCTCCCAAGGGCCAGGGGAGCGGTGGCCCCGCTCCCACCTCCTCGCCCCAGCTGGCGGAATGGGACCCCAGCCCCTGGGCCCCTGGCACCCGGGGTGAGCAGTGACGGGAGCAATTCTACATAATTTGGGGGGAAAATTATGATTAGGGTCTAGTTTTCCTGTCCACGGGCCAGCTACAGGCATGTCCAGAGCTAACTCCATCTTTGCCTCGGGTCTCAGCTAACACTCCAAGGGTCCCGAGGTGCTCTGAGCCCCAGGGCAGGACCACACCACCTGGAGACATCCTGGGAGGACCCAAATCTTCATCTGCAGAGTTCCTCACTTTTCTAAGACTTCTTCTGCCCCCTGAGCCGTCTGTTACATTTGCTCCTCCCAATGTACCAATGTACTGAACTCTGTCTGAGAAACCTGTTACATTTGTTTCTCCTGATGGGCTGCATAAAGGTGTGGTGCCCAGAGCAGCATGGGTCAGGCCCAAAGCTCAGCTTCTCCTCCAAGTCTCACTTTTCCCATCTTTCTGTCTAATAAGTTAATTCGCCTCATGCTGTGGTGGCTCGCAGGAGACCAGAACTTCCTGTAGAGGTTCTAGTAATGTCCCCTTTCCCTGTTCCCCACAAGCAGCTTCCCACAAAGCCCAATTCAAGGAAGACACGAGCCCTCCCAGGCCATGGCATTTCACTTTCTTTCCTTTCCCTTCTCTCCCAGTTAAAGTGACAATGGTGTCATTGAGCTCATGAAAGAAACGCACATTCTTGCAATTTCTGTTCTGCACATAACCAGATGGCAGGATTCCAACAAGGGAGCGGGCCATAGCACTGCCCGGCCACCCGCTGTTCATCTCTGGTGCTCATGGGATGTGAGGCAAGGACAGAGGTGGATTCCCTGACTGTCACAGAGTAGCGGAGCCAGCTTGCTGGGCCCTGGGACACTCCCGCCTCCCGGAGTCCACCTAGCAGCCTGGGGTCTTTTCATCTCCTAAGGATTCCGACTGGGCCCCCTGTCCTTCCCACATCACCCAGGGTCACTATGGGGCCCCCAGGTCCACACCACCAGAGATTTCCAGGGCTGGGGACGGCAGCCATTAATGGGCAGGGAGCTACGTGAGTCCTGCCCAGTGATGGATGCAGGCACCAGAGGGGACACCTGGGAGGGTCGTCCACCCGCGCACAGGTTAAAGGGCACATCGCTGGGCACAGGGGCAAGTGCACACCTGTGAGCCTCTGGGAGACTGAGGCAGGAGGGTGGCGAGCTCAGCATGGCCCTTTGAGACTCAGCCTCAAAGCAAAAACCAAAAAAGGGCCAGGGATCTAGCGCAGGGCAAAGGTTCTGGGTTCATCTCTAATAGAGAGGGAGAGGGAAGGAGAGGGAGGGAGAGGGGGAGAAGCTGCTCAAATATACAGGTGACTTCACACTGTTCCGGAAAGTGGAAAAGCCTGCAGACATGCGTGACATTACTATGCTGCCCCTATAAATATGTACCATTATTATGTATTGATTAAAAAAACAACAAAGAGAAACCGTAAAAACGAATGACTTAAAATTCTTCAAGAGCCTGGCAGCAGAACACAGTGGGGTACACACCCCAGCTGTAGTCCACACCGGAGCCAGACACAGGCACCGCCCACCCTGACCCAGGACCCGGCAGCGAGCACAGCGGTGACAGGGGCCTCGCTCCGTCAGCCTCTCGTTCTCCACGGGCAGCATCACCAGTGGCGGTGCAGCCATTCGCACCCGGGTACCCCTGCCTCTCACTGACCCCCGAGCGCCAGGCTTTTCCATGAGAACTAAAGGCCTGGTGTCTCCACAAGAGGCATGGGATACACTGTGGCCAGGGCCGTGGATTTCCACCCACGGGGCCCTCATCCCCCCACGTACCTTGGTCTCTCGAAATATCCGGCTTGTACCAGAACTTGGAAGTGTCCTGAACAAATTTGACGCTCACTAGTTTGTCGCTCGGACTATCTGGAAAGCACAACAGATAAGTGGTGACTCTGACGGCCGTTTTTACTGCAGCCTCTTGGTGCAACAATATCCCTGCACCTCAAGATCCCAGGCCGGGGACAAGGGGCCAGGACACAGGTACCACCCTACAGGGCAGAGAGCCACATCCGCAAGACAGGAGCAGGAGAAGAAAGCTCCTGTTCCGTCTCACAAAACGAAAGACAAGGCATATTTGAAACACATAAAAAAGTGGGGCGTGGTGCATACTCCTGTAATCCCAGTACTCAGGAAGCTGAGGCAGGAGGATCTACACAATGAGCTCAAGGCCAGCCTGGGCAACATATGGAGACTTGGTCTCAATGAATGAACACACACATATAAATCAATGAGTAGGAAGCAGACAGCAAGGTCAGGACTGCTATACGCTTCCTCATACACTTTTCATAATTAAATTCTGGGTGAATTCAGTTCAATTAGAAAAAGTAACTTTCCAGGAGTGGGGTTCTAGAACTAAAAGGGAAAACAGACCCACTGCAAACACCTGCGCCTTCCACCCCTGTGTCCAGAGAAGGCAAGGGGTGTGAGGGCAAGCCTGGGTCGGATCACGGACTTGGGGGCTGAGCGCACAGCGCCCGCGGCCCTGCCAGCTCCAGGGCAGACCCCGGCCTCCCTCCCAGGCGTGAGCGGCGGGGCACCCACCTGGCAGGGGTGAGGCGGCCTCTGCGGGCCTGGAGAAGTCAGGCAGGGCGCTGGGGAAGGGGATACTGATGGTGCTGCCACTGTGTGGGCTGGAGAAGCCGCTGGACGAGGGGGACACAGAGCCCAGGGACCGGTCCCCCTCCGAGGCCCGTTTCTTCTCGGGCAGGGGAGGCTGCCCGGGCAGGGATCCCCCCTGGCCCTGCAAGCCGGGGCTGTGGCGGCCGCTGTGTCCGTGCCCAACGGTCAGGAAGTTGTGGGACAAGAAGCCGTTGTTGGCGGCAGCTGGCATGGTCAGGGCACCGCTGGGGGCTGGGGCTGCACCATGGGTGCCGGGCAGCAAGGCACCCGGGTCCTCACCAGGCACAAGGCCACCTCCCACGGGGGCCGCGGCACTGACCCCCAGGAAGGCCTGGCTGCCAGGTGCGGACAGAGTGACCGGCGGTTCCGCCAGGGACAGCTCACGGCTGTGCAAAGAGGCCTGCAGGTCCGAGGCCGGGAAGCAGGGTGGCCCCGGGGCATCCGTGCCTGGGCCTAAGAGCTCGCTAGCACCAAGGGGACTTCCGGAGGGCCGGCCGCTGCCCCAAAGGGCCAGAGTGGACCCAGGAAGGCCTGGCTGCCAGGTGCGGACAGAGTGACCGGCGGTTCCGCCAGGGACAGCTCACGGCTGTGCAAAGAGGCCTGCAGGTCCGAGGCCGGGAAGCAGGGTGGCCCCGGGGCATCCGTGCCTGGGCCTAAGAGCTCGCTAGCACCAAGGGGACTTCCGGAGGGCCGGCCGCTGCCCCAAAGGGCCAGAGTGGACTTGGGGCTGCTCTCCAGCCACTGGCGCTCTGCGGGGGGCAGGCTGTTCAAAAAAAACGAGAAAGGAAGTAAATGAATACATAAATAAATAGCCATCCTGCGATCCCAGCACTCAGGAGGCTGAGCCGGGAGGATCATCATGAGTTCAAGGCCAGCCTGCGTTAAACTACATAGCAAGACCCTGCCTCAAAAAGAAAAAACGAGGGCCGGGGATGTAGCTCAGTGGTTCTACTGCCTGCTTTGCAAGTGCTAAGGTCTTCAGTTCGATCCCTGGTACCAAGAGAAAGAACAAATGAAAAAACAAAATAATAATGAAAGGTACACAGGCACATCTTGAAATCAGCAACTGTCAGCAGGCGGGGGAAGATGCTTCTGTTCCCTGAAGTGAACCTTGATCCAAGTACGAATCACACGGAGTCAATGGGGATTAAATCCTGCGTTCCCTTCTGGGCGGCCTGAGGAATGCGGCCCAGCACTGGCAGGGGGTGAAACACATTTGCCCAGCGTACTCTGTGCTGTCTACACCACCACCTCATCTGTAGCTCACTGGGGTACTAGACTGGCCAAAAAGCCCCAGGTTTCTCAGTGTCCCCGAGCTCTAGCACCGCAGTGCTGGGGGCTGTTAGCCAACACTGTGCCGAGGGCCCCACTCAGTCCAGCGTCTGCGTCTCCGCCTGCCCTCCTACCTCTCTTGGTGCTGGCCAAGACCGTTGCCGGAGATGGAGCAGGAAGCCGCGAAGGCCTGCGGGAAGGTGGGCGTCCCGGCCACGTCGGCCTGGAGCATCGGGCCTTTGGGTGCCAGGGGACTCTCGGACATTCCCGCGGCGTGGCTGGGGACCTCGGAGCAGCCGCGTGGATCTGCAGTGGAGACAAAGTGGGGACCCTGACAGCCCGAGCCACGGAGTCCCAACCTCCCTCCTCTGCAGGTTCTCCAAGGAGTGGGGCTGATGGAGCTCGCTGTGCACCGCCAGGCGCAGGAGCCCGGCCAGGGGTCCCTGTGAGATGGCTCAGGCCCCGCGCTGCACGTGGAGGGACACACGTGGGTCCCAGAACTGCACGACAGCCCACGGGCTCCACCCCACACTTTGCACCTTTCTGACACACACTCAAATTTCAAATAAAACAGAACTGGTGAGCTGCTGGGATCTCAACAAGTGCACCACCACCGGGGGGCAACCAAAAACAAAAATCTCACTACCGATGCAAAACCGGAGTTAAGAGACAGAGAGGAAAATCACTAAGTATTTGAGAAACAGAAGAAAAAAGAAACAGTGACTCACATTTATATCTGAGAGCGAAAGTCGTCGGAACAATCAAATGGGGAGCCTAGAACTGAAAAGACAGGGAAGTAGCACACTACACCCCGAGATTAGACACAGGAGGGGGCGCTGAGGAGGGCAGGGGAGAGCCAGCAGCCTGAACCCTGGGGCAGCACTGGGCTACAGAAGAGGCCTGGAGACCTGACTTCACCGGAAACTCTGTGTCCGGGAAGCTGAGACAGGGAAGGAAGCAGAAGCTATGTACTCAGAATGTATCAAAATGTCCCAAATACACTAAAGAAATCAAACAAAGCTGGACAGGGTGACACACACCCATCATCCCAGCACTTAGATCGCAAATTCAGGCCCAAACTGGGCAACTTCGTGAGACCTTGTCTCAAAATAAAAAGCAGAAGGGCCAGGGATTAGCTCAGTGTGAAGGGCTTAGCTTTAACCTACAGTGGCGCAGTAAGAAAAAAATAAAAATAAATAAAAATCAAGACACAGCCTAAAAACAAAATCCATGATGGCCGAGGATTTAGCTCAGTGGTTCCACTGCCTGCCTCAAAATCACAAGGACCTGAGTTTGATTCCTGGTACCAAAAACAACAACAACAACAAAAATCCACAATCCCTAAACCAGAAAAATTACAAGAAAGCTACACATACTTAAAAGTACAAAACTTCTGACAATCAAACAAAGCCTTAAACACAGAGACTTGTCCATTTGGGGATCAAAGATGTCGGGGGGCACCAGTTCTAACATTCATTGTGGTGTTAAAGTTTTCATCACAGGAAAGTGGGGAGGTGGAGATCTGATGGCCCCAACGGGCATCACAGGCTCGAGTACCCCAGGGTCAGCCCTGGCCTTCAGTGCTTCAATCCAGCACTGAGCTGGGCTCTCAGGGGCCTCAGGCCATGCACGTGATGAACGACTGTGAGTGAATGAATCTGCACAGGCACAGGGGCGAGGAGTAGTTCAGGCCATGACAGGAAGCCCTGTCCGGCTCAGAGCAGACGGTGGACAGCGGTGTGGGTTAAACCGGCTCCAGGACCCCCCCTTGTAGGCGCAGCCCTCCTCCTCCAGCCGACCCTGCCCTTCCAGGTCATAGCTCAGCATAGGGGCGCCCTGGGTTCCTTCTGTCCCTGGCTCTGAGTGCCAGCCCGATAAGGATCTGGGGGCCCAAGCCAAGATTCAGAGGCCCCAAACCCACCCGGTGGCGCCAGGATTCTCATCAGAAGCAGAGGTGGGAGGGAAGTGAACACCCACCCGCTGTCGCCCACAGCTGGCCCAGAAACATCGGGCGCAGCATTTCTCGTGAAAGTGGCTTTGTTCCTGGGTCACTCGGCCAGCGGGGGTGGGGCTGCACAGTGCCCTCCCTCCCTCCGGTGACCCTGGCGGGTGCAGGGCACAGGATTTAACCCTTTCTCCAGCTTTCAGGGCCACTTCTGCAAGAAGCCCAATGCATAGAGAAGAAAGTCAGCCAGGGGCACAGCGTGGATTCACCTGCGAGCTGAACTCAGCACCAGAGGAGACAATGCTGGCCAGGTGCTCAGACCCACGGTCACAACCATGTCCAGGACCAAGACTGCAGGCAGGAGGGGCGCTGGTAGATGCGTCCCTTGCCTGTGTAAGATGCTGAGATCCACCACTATCTCCCTCCCCTAAGCCTGCAGGACCCCCAGGGCCACATGAGAATCTGCAGCATGGAACAGAAGCCCCCGAAAATCTTACCCCAAGCACAGATAAGCAAGACACAGACCACAAACCCTTCAGCCAGTCAGGCTTGGTCCTAGAAATCAACCCAGTATTTAACAGGGCATGGTGGCACAAGCTTGTAATCTTAACACTTGGGAGGCTGAGACAGGAGGGTTGCTGCAAATCTGAAGCAGCCTGGACTACATATTGAGTTCATGGCCAGTCTGGACTACCCTGTCTCAAACACCAAAAGGACAGGGTTTTCTTTCCTGCTGGATGGAACCCTGGCCTCCTTGTGTGCCCTGGGCCAGTGCACCACACCCACACCCCAGCTCTGCCAGGTGATGCTGTGGTTAAACTGCGGTTAAACCTGAGGTGACACTGAGCTTGTCCTGTGGGTCTCGAGTTCCCTGGTCACCCCTTAGCACCCAGCAGTCCAGGGTGGGGACAGCAGTGACATGGAGGGGACCACACCTCTGCCCTAAGGCGAGACATCGGGGAATGTTGACTCCTGCCGCTGGGAAGGACAGCGGGGGCTCCCTGAGCCCAGCAGCACAGTGGCTTCTGCCTCTGCTTCAGAGGAGGGGACAGAAGAGCACAAGGGCGAGGGAGGGAGGGGGTTTCTTATGTCCCCGCTAGGGCCAGGCAGCCCTTGCCTGAAACCATAGAACTGCAGGAGGCTGAGGCAGGAGGACTGCAAGTTCAAGCTCATCTTGGGCAACTTAGCAATGCAGTGAGACCCAGCTACGTAGAGCATCCACAGGCAATCGGGGTCCCACTGTCCCAGTCCAGCTGTGGGCCATGGACAGAGGCCTCTCTCCACCCCAGCCTCTTCCCCACCCTGTGGCATTCCTGCTTAGGAACTGGGTCCCCAGTCCTGCGGGATGCCCCTCGACCACCACCGCCATCCCCAGCTGGGCTGTCTCCGGGGAGCTCAGGAATGTCTGTCTGCCTCTCCACCGCTTCCTCTTCCACCACGTCCCGCACCCAGGGCTGGGTGAGCAGGGCCTTGGCTCCTCTCCAAAGTGTCTATTTTTATACTTCCTCCAGGGCTGCGGCCCAAGGGTCCGTGGGAAGCTGAACACCCCTCGCTCACTGCTCCTGACACAACCTGGTGTTCACAGGAAGAAGGGAGCCTTCGCTCCCAGGCAGGGACAGGCTGGGCCGGGACAAGGACACGGATAGCCGTTGGAGAGGGAGCCGCTGGACGTGCGTCTGCAGCCTGTCTTCCTGGGCACCCACCTCCCACCTACCCCTCCTCAGTCTCTCTTCTATTGTTCTTCCCTCTCCCTGCCTCACCTATGGGGCTCGCCAAGGATGGCTGCACGAACAGGAAGTCTTCAGAGCCCTAAGTGGAGGAACACACGAACCTCCCAGCCCTTCTGTGATGTTAATGGGTGTGGAACCTGGGGCTGCTGGAGAGGCTGAGACCACCGTCTTGGGGTCCAGATATGGGCACATGGGCACCCTTGGGACTGAGGCTCTACACCCACAAAATCCCAATGCCTGGCAGCAGATGAGGGGATACTTAGGCTCAATTCAGCCCAGAACTCTGCATTTCTTGTTTTGTTTTTGCAGTGCTGGGAATGAAACGCAAGGCTTTAAAAAGAGCAAAATGTACGACAGCTTTGAGGGTAAGGGTTTTTGTTTTGCTTGTTGAGACAGGGTCTTGCTATGTGGCCCAGGCAGCTCATGGCAATCCTCCTGCCTCAGCCACCTGGGTGCTGGATCACAGGAGTGTGCTGCCATCCCAAGCTAGTAGTAAAATGTTTTAGGAGAACATCCTGATCTTATAACTCTTACATATCTCCGTATAATGGGCCTTTAACCAACTTGCCACAGACCAGGGACACTCTCACCCTCCGTGGATTCACCTCCTTCCAGAAACACTGAGCCACAGTCTCACCGCGAAGCAGGACACAGAAGGGCCCCAAAGATGCAGGTCAGACAACTCGCCGCAGCCTGGGACCTGTGTTCTGCCGCTCTCCGAAAAGGACGACCCGTTTATATCCAGAAGTTTGGATCCAAGCAAACAGTGCCTCACTTCCCTGCGTGGGGCAGAGAATTCCAAAGGTGACAGAGAAAACAGCTTGTCTCGGTGCCTGGTTTCACACTGAAGATACCCTGAGCCTCAGGGGCTAACGAGGCCTGAGTAACTTTCGGGAGCAGCCTGCCCCTATGCTTGGGTCCGAGTCCCTGGGAGAACGGGCTTGTTGCTTGCCAGACTTTAGAGTGACCCTGTGTCGGATCCTGGAAGGCCACAGTCTGAGGACAGCACAGAGCTGAGAGGTGGGGCTGAAGTCGGGAGGGGAATGGGATTCTCACAAAGCCAAATCAAACACGCATGCACACTCTCCTTCACCCTGTTCTTCCCCAGGGATCGACCTCCAGCCCTCCTGGGAGTTCACACTGCTCTGGGCCTCGGCAAAGCCCACCCTTCTCCTGCTTTGGTGCCCCCCATGCCGGTCCACACTGCTGTGTGGCAGCTTCCTTCCTTGTGAGGTGGGTCCCTGTTCCACATGACGTGGACCTTGGGGGCACCCGGGTGGCTCCCCCAGAGGACACCTGGGGTCGGCTATGCCTTCCGGTCTTCTCCCTTTGGCCCGCTGGAGTGGAACCAGTAGTGGACTTGGTGATGAAGGCACTGGCCCTAGCAGCTCCATCCCCAGGGTGTGGAAGTGGCTGGGGCATCGGGCAGAGGGACCCTCAGGAAGAGAAAGCAGCACAAACCCCTGCAGGACCCCACTTGTGCCGAGCACAGACCCCCAAACCGGGTGGCCCGAAGGCTGAGTGAGGCACCCCGAAGATAGGATCTCGTGCCCACAGGAGTCCCACTGACGGGGAAGCCAAGGAGCTGTGGAGATCTGAAGGCACTCAAGAAGGCATCTCAGAGCAGCCTC